CTCACATCATCTCATTTCAAAATCTGCCACTCTTTCCACTATACTACACGGCTTCATGTTAATTGAATTCAATAATGTTCATTAATTATTATAGTAATAACTGATATTACACAGCTAAGTGGCATAGCGGATAAAGTACTAGACTTGGAGGAAGGAAGACCTGAGTTTGAGTTCTGCCTCAGACACTACTGTGATCTTGGGTAAGTTAATCTCTCAGTCTCAGTTTGATCTGTAAAATGGGGATAATAGCACCTACCCCAGAGTTATGAGGATCAAATGATACCCATGAAATCACTTTGCAAACCTTATAAGTGCCATGTAAATCATAGGTATCATTAGCTACAAATGATAAATAGATAGATAAATACAATGATCCGAAACAATTCCAAAGGACTCATTATGAAAAATGCTATCCACCTCCAGGAAAAGAACTGAAGAATTTTTTTTTCAATTTAATTAAACAAAAATTTATTGAATACCTGTTTTTTTTTTCAGGGAAAATATTTCTTTAATGACTACATACTGTAATAGAATTTTTGAGTAAACAATGTATAGAAGAGATCATGAGAGATAAAATGAACAGTTTGGATTACATAAAATTACAAAGCTTCTATAAACACAAATCCATGTGGGAAAGATTAAGATGAGAAACAATTAACTCAGAGTTGGAAGGAACATTTGACGCAATCTTCTCTGATAAAAATCTGACATTTAAGATATATAGGGAACAGATGCATTAAGTTCTCAAGCAATTTTCTAATATATGTTATGAAATTATATAACATTTAATTCTCATAGGATGAAATCTAAGCTATCAGCAACCTATCAAAAAGTTACTATTAGTAAGATAATTCCAAATTTGAAGTTCTATCTCATACTCACAAAATTGGTAAGGATAACAAAGTTAAATGACAATTATTGAAGGTGTTGTGGAAGAACTTGGAACTGTGAAATGGTCTAGCTCTAGCAGCTACTCTGGAAAGCAATTTAAAACTATGCCCAGAGAGAGAACTGATGAATTCTGAGCACAAACTGAAGTATAATATTTTAACTCTATTATTCTTGTTTTTTTCTTTTGTAACATGGCTAATATGTAAATGCTTTTGCATGACTTAACATGCATAAATATATTGCTTGCCTTCTCAATGGACTGGCAGAGGGGCTGGATGGAAGAGGAGAATTTGGAACTCAAAATTTTAAAACTGAATATCAAAACTAATGCTTAATAAAAAAAAAACAAGTTATGCAGGTTGGCTTCTACTGAAGCATACTATAAGTGCTATGAAAAAACCTATTCTTGAAGAAGCTATATTGTTTGGTCGAAGGGATTATTATAATTATCTTTCTTTTTCTTGAGGGTACCAATATGTAGATATGAAATACAAATGCTCAGGTATTCATGAATTTCCATGAAGTCACGTTTGCTTGTGTAACCTTCACTTTGTATCCTTAGTACTTAACAAAGTACCTTGCATATAGTATTGCAAAATAATACAAAATAATGGATAGTGTTGGACCTTGAGTCACGGAGATTTAAATTTAAATCTGGTCTTGTGTGCTTCAGTTTCCTTAGCTATAAAATGGGGAAAATAGTATCTGTAAGACACACCTCCCAAGACTGTTGTGAAATCAAATGAGATAAGATATGAAGTGATTTGCAAACCTTAAGATTTATTAGAAGATCTATGATCCTCTGAGTCAGTAAGGATCGTGGGATTGAGAACATGGAAGAGACCTCTGAAAGTCCAATGTCCTCATTTTACAGGTAAGAAAACCCAAGTATAGAAGTGAAGCTGCTTGCCCAAGGTCATGTAGATGTTAAGTAACAGATTCCAGATTCAAAATCAGGTCCTTTGATTCCAAATCTAATTCTTTTACTCCTTCGTTAGTGAACTTATTTACAATTGCACCCTTCCATTTGAATTGTCTTAGTAAGACTTTGAAGATCAACTGGCAAGATTAAGGTACCTGACACCGAGGTCCTTTCTGGAGCTGAACTGTCAAGCATTCAAACTCTACTGCAGAGACATTCTATCACCTATATATAAATGAGGAAACTGAGGCAAACAGGGTTAAGTGACTTGTTCAGGGTCACACAGCTACTATCTGAGACCACCGTATCCATGCCCCACCTAGTCTGTCACAAAATCAGCTCCAAGAAGTAGCATTCAGAGGATCTTTGGGTTGTAGGTTCATACGTTCTACTTCTGTTGTAATCTCTCCCAGCCACACTCCCAATCTGTACAACGTACTTGAAGTAAACTATACAGTGGCTATCAGAGATTAACCTATTACGCAGAAATCTCCTAGACCGGACTTGTTCTTAATCCACATCTCCACTCTTCCAAAACAAAAGAAGGCACCTTTTGTGGGTTTCAAAAAAGTCTATTCTGTCCTTTGGATTAAAAAATTGTACTCCTTATTTGAAGGACACATGAAAGAAAATGCTAATTGCTTCATTTCAGAGGATCTTTGGCATTTAAAAAAAATCACATAAGTTTGTGTTTATTCAAAACATAAGGCATAGTTAGTATAGGAAATAAGCTGCCTCCCACTCTGCCCAACATCCACACAGTGACATTGCCACAAATGTTTTCCATAGCATTCTATTCCTTCCTCCACCTTTTACTCACTTTCCCTAATAATCCAAAGAATAAAACGACTACCTCAGAGGCAACTGTCTGTAATGATCTTCCAACTTCTAACCCCATCCCATGAGAGACTTGGGAGGCTTTTATGTTGTTCTTTAAGTATTAAAAGTTAAATGACAATACTTCAGAGAGCTTTATAGCTCACATAACTTTAAAATCAGTAATTTAACTATCCTAAATATTGTACTAAGAGCAATCCAGATGGTACATAAAAGTGAACCTTACTGTTTTATTTTCTCAGCAAAAATCTCGTATTTCATTCCTCATAATGAACATTCCAAAACAATTTCATATTATTTACAGATGAACTAGGTGCTATGCATACAGATTTAAAAAAGGATTGTTGTTAAAATCAAGATGCTTGTTAATATTAACCTGTTACCACCAATAACTCTGTACATTTGATGGTTCTAGCCAAACTGCAGTACTCCCATTAGATTATAAGCTCCTTGAGGGTAGAGACTAATTTTTTGCCTCTTTTTGTATCCCCAGTGCTCAGCATAGTGTCTGGCACATAGTAGGTGATTAATAATGTTTACTGACTCAGGTATTCTGTAACACATCTGTGTGTGTGTGTGTAAGTCATATCCCTCTACTAGTAAGCTCATAAGGGTAAGAGCCATGTTTTACCTAATCTTTGCATCTCTCCTAGAGTGCAGTATGGTGCTTAGCTCCTAGATGGTGCTTAAGGTTTATTGAATTAAATACCCCAGAAACCCTAGATCTAATGTCACAATTAAGTATCAGTAAATAGAAAGGGATCTCAACTTGATTCCCTGACTGAAGTAAATCAGACCACTTTTAACCAGGCTCCAATGTGCCAAAGATGTAATACAAATCAATGCAGTGACAGCCCATTATAGTACTTACCTTTTCCTTTAAATGAAAAAAGCAATTCCCCTCCCCACCACCTGGAAAAAAATCCTGTGTAATAAGATTTCCTCAATGCTTCCTAGCATTCATAGTTTAAGATGATGCCCCCTCCCCACTAAATTGAGAATAGCTGCCAACACAATCACGTCGATCAGACAATATTTAATTTTTTAAAAAAAGTTTTTATTTCTGTGACTTTCTTCCTCCTTGAAAATTAACTTAAAAAAATGGAAAATAAAAGAAAAAAATGTTCTACAAATGAGAAATTTTCAGACTGTTTCTGAATGTAGCAAAAAGAAAAACAAAAACCCACACAAGTTTTTCACTTTTTGTTGAGTAGAATGGCTGAAAAGGGTGACTAAGATTTTCTACAGAGGACAATTTTTAATTTAGCAGAAGTATTCTGATATGATTCTCATCGAGATCTTTAAGTCATAAATAAGAAAGTACTTTAAATGCTTCATATGGCCCTTCTCAGATTTGAGATTCATTATTTCATTGGACACAAAGTTACAGATCTAGACCAAATAACTGGAAAACAAAGGTTGCAAATGGTAGAAGCCAATTAATGCTCAATGAGTCTGTTTATACATATGTTCACACCAATATTTGAGGAAGAATTCTATTAAGTTGGCCTACAACCTGCCAACACAAGGAATTTAAAAATAATTAAATGTTTCATAAGTTTTGAACTCTATTTTCAAACTGACTGAATTTCAGTTGAAACAAAGAAATTCTAAGCATACTCAATCATGAAAATTTCCTTTTTTGCCTTCTCCTTGAAGATCCATAAAAATAACTGCACTCTTGCAGAGTACATAAATTGCACTTTTATAATTTGTTATTTTAAAAATTACTGATATTATTCTTTTGTTCAATCTGAAGGCAATTAGTATCAAATATGTTTAAGAATAGAGAATGCTAAATTAGTGGAGTTGATACAGCTCAATACCTGCATATACCAGTTATATGTCTTGAGACATCTAAAAGATACCAGATCAAGTCGTCAAAAAAAAAAAAAATCATTTGTTTGGATCAACTGATCTATTTTTAAGGTCTTTTTTTTTTTAATACAGTTTGAATTTCTGGCAATGAAAATAACTGTTTCATTATTAAAGACTTGAGATCCAAATCAATGAAATATAGGAAGCATCATTTCACAACTGTTCTAATTAGTTCACCTCATCTTCAAAAGATTATTTTCTTTAGCAGCAGGTATTTGAATAAAAGCTTAAGATACATGTAGATCCAGATTTCAAGGGGAAATACCCTAGGAAACTTTCCTTATAATTCTTTGCTTTAATTGAGAAAATCTATAAGAATTCATGTTTTTTGTAATGGGATGTGAAAACAATACTTTTCTTGTAACACTCTTATATACAATCTTAGCAATTTCTCTGTATGTGTACTTCATAGACTGACTTCATAAAGTTGGAAAACATAGTAAGCCACAGATAAAACTGAGTACAAATTGAGTTGTTCAGGGAAAACATGTTTAAAGCATTATTAGATACAAATGCACTTTTTATGAACGCCTACATAACATCCAACCATTTTTCTCAAATAAAAAAATGTTCATTATAGAAATGTTCTCATATAAGGATACAATTCCCTCCCCCCCAATCATATAGAATGGAACTTGAGCAATCATTTACCAAGTTTGCTTTCTACTGTATGCAATAGAAACTCAACAGGTGACATAAAAGAATGACATCTACAGAATGCCATTGTAGTGGCAGAACTATAAATAAGGTCGATCATTATGCAGATATCAATCCATTCTGGTATTAACAGTTGCGTCTTAGTTATTTATAGAGAACAACCTTGGTCCATTAACACATATAATTGAGAACAGCAACCAGGAGTCTTTCAGTCAAGGTACACAGCTGAAAGGGTCAATAATCACTCTTCCCATTGTTTTCTGTAGGCAAGTCCTTTATCTATATAAATCTGACAGCAATTAAATTCTGGCATTTTTCTGCTACTGGATGAACAAGATGCTGAAAGCCATTACTATACAGCATACTGCTACGTAGGGACTCTTTCGTTCGCCTGTTGGAAAAAAGAAACAAATATAGCTATTTATTTACTTTGATTCACCAGGCATTTACTGAGTGCTTAACATGGGCACATTACTGTAACAGGCACAATGGGAGGAGGAGTACGAAAGTGGAAGATACTTACCCTCTGGCTGGAGAAGCAAAGCATAAAGTATATGAAAACAACAGAGGCCTAAACAGTAGTTAGTACTTGCATAAAATTTTAAAGTTTGCAAAGAGTTTTACATGTGTTATCTCATTTGTTTCTCACAGTTCTATGAGGTAGGAGCTAATAATCTTTGCTGTAAGGATGAGAACAACTGAGACTGAAAGTGATTAAATGACTAAGGTTAACTAAATGTTAAGGGTTACACACATAGTAAACATCAGAGACAGGATTCAACCTCAGGCCTGCCTGACTGCAAGTCCAATGCTGTAGCCATTATATATATTCAAACGCTGTATAATCAAGTATGAACTGCCATATTTTTTTATTGGCTAGGCAAAGGGGTTAAGTGACTTGCCCAGGGTCACATAACTAGCTAAGTTTCGACTGTCTGAGGCTAGATTTGAACTCAGCTCCTCCTGACTCCAGGGCCAGTGCTCTATCCACTGTAACACCTAGCTGCCCCTATCTTTAATTTTAAACTCATTAGAATCACTTCTTACTGTACATGTTTTTTTTTTTTTTTAAATACAGAAAGCCCTGAAAGTTCACAGTCTGTGTCATTTCATAGTTTTTGATGTCTAGGAAGAAGAAGCACAAATAACTGCAGTGGAGGGCAAGGGTTCAAGATAAACAAGAAAGCTGAAGCTATTAAATTAGGCTTAATGAATTGTCTAACTATTTGTGTGTTCTAAATAGTACCAGGAAAAATCTAATGCAATGTAAGGAGAAATCAATACATTAGCAAAAGTATTTTTAAAATGTGAATGACTTCCTGGTAGAGAGTAATTATTCCCATAGGAAATATAAGCATATATGGGTGATAATAATAAGCAGGAAAGTGGTCAACTAAGCTACATTTTTAGTAAGATGGGTTTGAAGAAATGGTCAAAGATGAAAACACAAAAAGGACACCAAAAACAATTTTAGAAATAATAATTTCTGTCCATTTCTATTACATTTAAATACCATACATACATACATTTAGAAAGTTCAACCTACTGCTGCCTGTGGGAACTGTCAATCTTTGTCACCTCATCGATTAAAGTCCTTTAGGCCACTCACAAAATTTTCCTGAATAAACTTTACTATGAACTATGAACTAAACAATTATCTTTGCTTCTGCTCAATGTAAACATTCACAGAACACAAGACAAATTTCTTGTTTTTGATGAATCAAAATCCTACTGATAGGTTTTTGGTTTGTTTGTTTGTTTGTTTGTTTTTTTTTGAAAGCAATGTAGAGGGAGGAGTGGGTTGCTGCCTAAGAAAAATGGCCTCAGTCTGACATTACTTAATTGATACTACCTCCTAACAGGGATGAGGAATCTGCAGTCTCCAGTCCACATGTGGCCCTCAAGTATGGCCCTTTGACTGAATCCAAACTTCACAGAACAAATCCCTTTAATAAAAGGATTTGTTCTATAAAACCTGGGCTCAGTCAAAAGGCCGCACCTGAGGATGCAGAAATCCACATGTGGCCTTCAGGCCACTGGTCCCCACCTCTGCACCTAGGACCACTGGTTAAAGCAGAAAGTTCCCAATCCTACTGATTAATTGAAAACTTTCTCATAAAAAATACTGTGGGTTCATTTTTTTTCCCCCAGAAACCTGGAATATTTTGCAGTGGAAAACAAAAAGATCCCCAAATAAGCCTACCATTCATATGCAAACAGATTTCAGTGATAGATCCCAAAAGCAAGAGTGTCACACTCTGTCATTATGGCAAGATACTGTCATCATCCAGTACAAAGTTTTATTAAACCTCAAACAACTGAGGAAATTAATATTGTCTGAAATTTTCCATCTGTTGGAAATTAATTTTTGAGGAAGTTCTTTTCCTCCTCCTCCAATTCTGAACATTATAATTTACATATGGGTTTTATTTTTCTGCTCTTAATTTTCTTAAAAGAAACTGCCATGTAGTAGAATTAAATATCTTTTAGCTAAACTTGGTAAGCATGTTACTACTTGTCTGATTTTAGGTCTGTGCAAAATGAATGTAAAACAGTTGTTGTGATGTGTGAGATGAGAAGATGATCTGGACTGTGCATTTTCTCATTTAAAAAAGCTTCCTTGTTTGTGTATACATTCTGGGTGTAGAGAAGAAGACATCTGGTTGAGGAAACAGCATTTTGGCATTTCCATTTCTAAATTGTTTTGTTAAAACTACAAACTGTTCAACTCCATAGTGCCAAATATTAAGTGAAGGTGACAACAGCATCCAAGGGAAGACAGTAATATCTCACAATGAAATAGTATTACACTTTAACATGTATGGAGAACTTTCCTCACAATAATCTTTTAAGACTGCAATTATTATTACTTTCTGAGTCACAAAAAGGTTGAGTGATTTTATGATGGTCACATGGCTAATGGACTGAGTTGGAATTCAAATCCTGGTCTCCATATAGCAAATACAATTTACTTTTTCACTATACCACACCAAGTCTCCACAGCTAAAAGGTTATGAAGAAAAAAGATGGGGTGAGAAAACTAAATTATACAGCTGAAAATCACTAACTGAAAAAAAGTTACAAATTGGGTGCTTTAAAATTAACTTAAATTTAAAATTAACAGAATATTTCATGGCTCTGTGATCTCACTGATATGTGCTCCCTTCTCTAAAAGTACAATTAACCAATAAGCACTGTTTAAGTGCTTCCTGTTTGCCAAGTACTTAAATACTATAGTACTATCTACCTACAAGGATCTTACATTCTAATGGAATTCGAAAAACCTTTTTAGGACAATGACAGGAAGAAATGTCCCACAAATAGCAAAATATTATAGGCAGAACTTTCTGGGGTAGCAAATAACTAGAAATCAAGCAGGTGCTCAACAAGAGAATGACTGAACAAATGGCAACATATGAAAGCAATGGAATATTATTATGCTGCAATAAACAATGTATATGAGAAATTAAGAGAAAAATGGAAGGATCTGCATAAATCTGGTGCAAAGTATAGAAAGAAGAACCAGGGAATGCTATAAGCAATGAGTAAAACTGGATGACAAAGTAACAAAAATGCAGTTTAGCTCAAGTGAAATGACCTATGTTGGTTCCAGAGGGCAGATGAGGAACATCTCCCTTTTCCTGTTGGTAGTATGAATACTGAATGCTATACATGCTGTCAGATACAGGAACTGATGGGTTGGTTTTGTTTAACCGTTTTTCCTTTTTAGAAGGAAGAGTTCTAACAGGGCAGGGAGGGATGGGTATACTGGGAAACAATTGGTATAACTAACAAAAAAAAATCAACATAACTTTCTGACTTTGTAAGCAGAATATACTGACCATAATTTAGCATGTTCTTGGTAACCAAGATCATTATTGAGATCACTGATTATTACGTACTATCTGTACTAATACTATTATCAGAGGCAATTGGGATATTTATGGCTCCTCGCCCTTACAGAGAATGCATCTGGTTGCTATTCTAGTCCAGCTGCTTTTCCCTCTCCCCAACTTGAGGTAGTGTGTTTGGAGGCACTGTTCATCTTTATCCATCTCTATGTTTTTCTTTTCACCTTCTTTTCTCCTAAGCTTCTTGGTTTTGAGCTCAGTAAACTTTGGCTTTCAAAGCTATAATCAATGATGGAGAATATTTCTTACGATTTATCTGACTTATCTCCCTTTGGCTATACTCAATGACTTTTTTAGTTTGCCTAAGAAAAACTGTAGAAACTGAAAAATGTAAATTTCCATTCAACTTTCAGTCTCTAAGAATAAGCAGTTGGTTATTATCTTTCATATCATACCTATCTTCAAATATATGTCAACTTTAAGTTTCTCTTCGAAGGCTCTTTTAATTTTAACATTTCCTAATAGGTTTTGCTTTTTTTATTTTAAAATTTTCAACTTGTTCATTATCTGTCCTCATCTCAATTGTCTCTGAGTATTCTACACCTTCCAAGTTGGGAACCAAAGCTACATATAGTCAAAATTGTGGCATTTTAACTGAGAAAAATGCCTTGTTGATTCTACAATCTACTTTAAAGCTATAGTTCAAAGCTTACATACGAATTCAGGTTGCAGTAAAGCTTTTTTTTTCCTACCTAAGTGTAGGAAAAATAAAATAAAAGGAAAAAATTATGATTAAGAGTGTCAATGACTTTCAGGAAAGAAAAATATAAATGAGGCTATATGTAAATACAACCAACATTTCTGATTTTATTTCTTACAGTTATGAAATGTGGAAATTTTGTTTTCTTTAGACGACTAAAAGACAAGTTAAACAACAGTCAGTAGTATCAGTACTTAGCCTAAATGGTATAATCATACTCCAAAAAACAATGCATAAATTATAGCAACTGATCATCCTTTTCAATGAAATAATGTATTTTCTATATCTTGAGAAAACTCTATTAAACTCTATTTAAGAAGCTAAAAAAGAGCCTTTTCCACAGTCAATGAGAACGCTATGAAAACATGAGTTAGTTGATACACTATTGAATGTTTGTTACTTGTCCCCCATAATACTTCATCGTGGAGTGACAGAAAACCAGTATTCCCTAACCACATCATGAATATATGTAATTCAAAATAGTATGTAATATGAAATAAATCATAGAAAAATAACAAACTATAAATGCTTGAATCTTGCTCTCACTAATAACTTCACAGTATCATACAGATGAGTTGGGAAAGATGAGGCCCAATGACTTCTTCAATGAAATGTTACACAGTAGTTTGCATAGCATAGTTTTAAATGCTATTCAAGAAAGAATTTTATGGATATTTGCAAACTTTTACAGAAAAGCACCAAACTGGGAAGCCTGCACTTTTAAAGCTGACTTTCATGTATATATAATATAAAAAAGTTGATAAATAACTTTCAGCTGAAGGATTGGTGGTAAAAAAAAAGAAACACTTACCGATTCTGGCACACTTCCAAAATATACCCAAGAGTCTGTATAGGATAAAAAGGTAAAAAAAAAAGTGGCAAGTGAATAGTGGTAATGGTAAACTATTCCCACAAGTTAGTTTTTCCATGTTGGTGTGATGAATTCATTAGGAGCTGGCCTTTCCCCTCTGGTTACTTTTGTTTGAATCTTAAATTTACTCATTCCCCATTTTCACATGAAGCCAGAACACCATTTCATATAAATAATCTGTGTGCAAAAGGTCAACTTCAAGGTAAATTAATGTAGTTGAGTTGAGAAATTTTTACAAAGGTTACCACACACAAAGACAAAATCAATTAGCTTCAAATGCCCTATACTTTGAAACAGAAAATTTATATCCTAATTTAAATGAAAATCAATTGAGAAACCTATAACTAATTTCTTAGATTTTTAGAATATAAAAAAGGAAGTAGACATTTTAATAATTCAATAATAAGAAATTAATTTTGTAGGATGTAGTGATATTTAATTCCTCTGTAAACATGATCTCTAATTCTAGTATTTGCATACCAAATACACCTTCTTCTCCACTGTTGCTAATTTTTTCATTACTAAATCCATCAATAGATTTATATGTAGCACAACAGTTATTTACTAACACTTTCTTCTAATTTTTATGTGACTAGAAATTTACAGTCTGAGGGGGAAAGTTGCATGTGAATTAAGTGATGGCATTTATTAAAATGTACACAGAATTTAGTTATTTGGTCAGGACCTGTGATTTCACTTTTTGATAATAACAGTAATAGTGGCAGCAAAAACAAAATAACCCCCCCCCCCAAACCTTTTATATTTATATAGTGCTTTAAGCTTTACAGTGATTTTGATAGATTATTTTGGAGTCTTGAAGACCTGCTTAAGGGACTGACAGGTTAAGTGAATTGCCCAGGATCTCATAGCTAATTTATGTGTCAGAGGCAGGACTCCAACACTAGGCCTTCCTACTCCAAAGCTGGTCTTTTTGTCCATAAGGCCATCTGTGCTTCCAGAAAACATAAAGCACTTTTGAAATATGAAAAATTAGGATGAGGATGGGTCCTCTGTAGTTTTACATACAAATAAACACTGGAATACATATTGGAATAGGATGTTAAGTGTTTTACGTTGGAGCATGATTTGACTTTATTTTGTTAGGCACTTTAAAAGTATATTAATTATTCCTGTGTAAACAGATAGGTGGTAAATGAATTACTACCTCTGAACTGAACTGCCAAGACAGAAAGAGAATACTGCCTCAATAAAATCCTATGCAATCCCCTCACCTTTTCCTGAAAACATAATAAATAACTTTATGAATGCAAAGCAAAAAGGCTATTAATTTAGAGGAAATACCCTGGGCAAAAATATAAGTGCAAGCTGATACTGAATGGGTTATCACTGACAAGGTAAGAACCTTTTTTTCAGTGGAATGAAAAAGTATAAGCTCCATAGTACATGACAATGACTCAGAGATCATCTTTAACTTCATTTTTAGTGATTTGGGGTTTGGAATGTTTATATAAATGTATTCCTTGGCTTATTTTTGTAATTGCCAATTTATTTTAAACCAACAAATTAACGAGCAACAGCAAATAATGCAAAATGTGTAAAATATTAACAATATTAACTCTAAAGAGTCTAGACACTTTAAGGAGATAGCCAGCTATGTTATTATCAACTTTACTAAATATTAAAACTAAAAGACAGATTTTTTTTTACGGAGACTATTTACCAACTATCAGATCTTACACAGAAACGATGACTCTTACTCACAAAAATGCACAGAACTAGTTAAAATCAATCAACGAACATTTATGAAATGCCTACTAAATGCCAGGCACTCTGCTAGGCAAGAGATGCAAGCAAAAGTGAAAGCCTCTTGAAAGATAACATGTATATAACAAACACAAAGTAATTTTTGGGAAAAGACACTAGAATCTGAAGGTGGCAGTTGGGAGGGGGAAGCCAGGAAAGGTTTCATGTAGAACGTAGTACCTGAATTGAGCCTTGAAGGAAAACTAGAGATTCTAAGAGGTGCAAGCGAGGCATGAGAGCATCACAGGGAGAGGGGACTGCCAAGGCTTGCTTGCTTGCTTTTTTTCTTTTTTCTTTTAAAATGTTAACACTTGGGGCAGCTAGGTGGCGCAGTGGATAGAGCACCAGCCCTGAAGTCTGGGGCACCTGAGTTCAAATTCAGCCTCAGACCAAACACTTGACACGTACTAGCTGTGTGACCTTGAGCAAGTCACTTAACCCCAATTGCCTCACCAAAAAAAAAAAATGCTAACACTTACTCTACTTTCTTTTAGTTAAAAAGCATGGCAGTGGGAGATGGAGGGTTACAGATGGTGAGGAGGGCTGAATCATGGTATACATGAAGAAGAGTAATGTGTAATAAAGCTGGGAAAACAGGCTAGGCCAGATTATGAAGGGCTTAAAAAGCTCACCAGTGAGTTCATATTTAATCCCAGAGGTAACAATGAGACAAAAGAATTTATCAGGTAGAACAGCGGCATGATCATGTCTACCCCTCAAGAAAATAATTTTCACAATTACATGGAATTGAAGCAGAACGGAGTAAGGAGATACTTGAGGCAGGGAGACTGATTGGGGGTGATTACTTCAGTATTATAAGAGAAGGGTGACGAGAGCCTCAATTATGGAAGTGTGTGAGCACAGAAAAAGGTACTGATGCAAGAGAGGCTATGGAGATGGAAACAGCAACAACTGGCTTCTCATTTAACATAGCAGTGAGAATGAGGAAATCGAGGATGACATCAAGGATGACTGGAAGGATGTGGTGCCCTCTACAGAAAAAAGGATGTTTGGAAGGAGGGGGTAGATTCTGGGAGATTCTGACACATCCAACTATCAGTTGGTAATGTAAGAATAGTGACCAGGAGAGACTGGATAAATAAAGGTAGCAGTCAGCATAGAGATGGTAATTGAATCCATGAGAGCAGATGTGGTCCCTGAAAGTACAAAAAAAGAAAAGAATATAGGAATGAATGAATGAAAAAGCATGTATGAAGTGCCTATATTATGTGCAAAGTATTGTTCTAAGTACTGGACACAAACAGAAAACTCCTTGCTGTCAAGGAGTTCACATTCCAATGGCAGGAAGCAATACATTTAGATGGTTTTAGTAGCAAATCAGATGTAAAAGTCTCATGGTCTTTAGGGTATAAGAATGAAAGCTGATGGTAGTGCATCTTGTTTAATGTCATTTCCACTGATAAAATAACATTCATTTCTGATGCTGAACCATTTCACAGTGCCAAGAACTATTACTCCCCCAGGCCTTCAGTACCTCTAGTTGCTTCCCAGGATGGTAGTTTTAGGGCCTGAGTTAGAATCAGGAATGTTGCTTTGAAGGTTGCCATCATCCTTAGGGGTCTTGGGTTTGTCTTCCCATTGATGGCAATCAGTTACCAGTTGTTGCTGTTGTTTAGCGAGGAAGATGGGGAAGATGAATGCTTCCTTCAATGATGGTTGCAGGGGTTAGGCTGGAGGCAGGGCTGATCTGTGATGCACTGCTATTCCAAATGCTCTTGGTTTCAGAGTCCTGGATTGTTTCCGTTGGAGTCTGAGGGGAAGTGGTGGTCAAGGCCAATGGTGTCAAAATGAAACAGGGGCCACCAGACTGTACAAGAGAATTCCTGTAGACCACACATTAACTTAGAAAATCACGTATAAACATTACGTATGTTGTACTGTATTTTTTATTCTTTGTTAGATATTTCCCAATTACATTTTAATCTGGCCAGGTCAGCAGGGCTGCATGTTGGATACCTCTGCTAAAGGTGACAGTAGCGGTTTGACTTGCTTAACACCTGGGCCTCTTGTTTTTCTCTTAGGGTACCTTGCAGTATAGCCAAAGGGAGTGGTGTGACATGAATTACTATTCAATAAGACACTGAAGATGGACCCATCAGATGAACAGGAAAAGAAGAAAGAATAGAGTCATAAGAACGTAGAGAGGATAGACTATCTAGAAGAGGATGATCAATACTATCAAATGTGCAGAGCGGTCAAGAAGGATGAAGACTGAGAAAAGGCCATCAGATTTGGCAATTAAGAAATCACAGGTAACTTTGGAGAGAGCAGTTTCATTTGCATGATAAGATCAAAATTCAAATTGCAAAGGGTTAAGAAATGACTGAAAGGAGAGGAAATGGAGGCAATAAGTATAGATAGATTTTTTCTAAGAGTTGGGCTGAGATAGGCCAGAGATAAAGGGCAAGTGGGAAGGGGACAAGCATTACTAAAAGCCTACTATATGCCTGGCACTGTGCTAAGCATTTTATAATTATCTCATTTGATCTTCACAATAATCCTGTGAGGCAGGTGTTATTATTACCCTCATTTTATAATTGAAGAAACTGAGGCAAAGAGAGGTCACATGACTTGCCCAGGGTCACATAACTGACTCTATGGTCTCTTACAGGATGACAGCTTGAGGGTTTTTAGGGAATAGGGAGATGTAGGCTTGTTTGGAGCCAGTAGAGAGGAAAAGAATGGATATTAGAGAAAGAAGAGATGACTAAGGGGGAAATCTGATGCATTAAATGGGAGGGGATGAGATCCAGGGTACATGTTGATGGGCAGGACTTGAAGAGAAGGTCCACCATTGTTTTGTTCATTACAAATGAAATTTAATAATGGTCATCAGCTATTGAAAGTTGTACTTTCAAAAACTGTGTCAAACCATAGCCTTTAATTAACATGTTTCATTTCAACAAATATTAAGCACCTAGTATCATTTCACTTTCCTTTACTTCCAGAGATCCATAATTTCATTAGTGTGGATTCCCCCCCCAACCTTCCTTTCCTGCTTTGTGAACTGGGAGAAGGGGGTGAAGGTGAGGAGACTCTTTTAAGATCTAAAAAGAACCTTTAGTGGGTTACAATTTGTTGATTTTGCAACTTCCAAACAGTCCGTTGTTTATACTTCCTTTCCTAGACGTATTTCTGCATTATCTCAAAAACAGGAATACTCTGACAGCCGATGAAAAACAGAACCAGT